GTAGAAGACTCTTCAGCTAGCCAAGCATGGGCTTAAGCACAGAGAGTGGATTTTAAGAGAGGAGCGGAACCCAGGGTGGGGTGGACCAATGTGCCCAGCAAATAGCTCCTGCACTAGGAAGGAACTGTGTAATGCCACAAGAAGAGACAAGAAATTGAGACCTTACCATGAGGGAGGTCTGAATCACCTTAGCTAAATGTAGTCTCTTCATGTGTGCCTGACTAGTAAATGCCTTTTGTGTTCACCCTTCCCACTGATAGTGTGTAAATTTGCTGACAAATGCCCAGAAGTGTGAGCTGCATTGGTCAAATGCATCCATGCAAGCCTATGGCTCTCAGTGTTTTCACTCTTCTCAGTGCTACTCAGTGACTTGAGGGAAAGTGTGCCCTAGGTTTATGGGGAGGCGTTTAATAAATTATCTTTTTGTATTCTGCCTTTCTAGTGGTCAAACCTTTGCTTTGAGCACTTTTGGTTGACTATAAAAAGTAAACATGCTGGAAGGGTCTCTCAAGCTATAGTTTAAAAAGTGTGAACTTACAAAGTATCTTAAATTTAGAATAGTCATCCCCTTGGGGACCCAACCTCCAAATTCAAATTAGGGGATACCCCAGGAAGGTGGTTTACTTGCATGTGTACTTGGTGTCCCCAGCAGAATGTAAGCTACTTGGTGAAAGAGGCTGGGGTTTTTTTCTTCATATCACTAGAATCTAACATAAAGCTAGCAAATAGTAAGTGTTTAATCAATACCTATTGATTGATTGATTAGATTAGTGAGAAGTTGGGGAAACCTATAGTGTATTCACTTCCCTCCCAGGGCCATTTTCTGTTTTGAAGGACTAAAGAAGTTACAACAGGATGATAAGTATCCTTGGAGGGAGAGGGGCGTTTGTGAGATGACTATGTACACACACCTCAGGTTTTGGAGGAGGGGTAACATGTGGTGAAGCACTCCTTTCTCTGCTAGCTGGCTCCCTACCTCTGTCAGTTATAACTCAGCAAAAAACCTAGGCTGCTCACTCCTATTCACCATACCTTCTATAGATATGACTCTGCATAAATAGTATAGCATCTGACTTGTTTTCCCCCTCATTTTGCAATCTCATTCATTCATTCACTCAAGAAATATTTATTTTGTCTACTAAGTGCAATGCACAGTGTTAGGTAGTAGGGGAGATGACTATATTCTTATGATGACCTTTCTGTAAATCCAAATTAGGTAACATAACATGGCCCTCCACAGTCTGGCTGTCTTCTATTCAATCGTTTTTCAGTCATGTCCAACTCTTCATGACCCCATGTGGGGTTTTCTTGACAGATACTAGAGTAGTCTGCCATTTCCTTCTCCAGCTCATTTTACAGATGAGGAAACTGAGGCAAACAGGGTTAAGTGACTTGCCCAAGGTCACACAGTTAGTAAATGTCTGAGAAGGGATTTGAACTCACATGGAGGAGTCTTCCTGTCTCCAAGCCTGACACTCTATCCACTGTGCCACCTACCTGCCCCAGTCTGGCTCTCTACTACTTTTGACACTACTTTTTTCACAGACTATTTCAGCTAAACTGGTCTTCTTTCTAACTGTTCTCATCTTCCCTCTGTACCTTTGCATAGTTGCTCCTCCATGCCTGGAGTGGGTTCTTTGGCTCCTCCATTTTTTAGAAGCCTGAGCTTCCTTCAAGGTGGGCACAGGGACCACCTCCTATGGGAAGCCTTGTGGATCTCCCAAATTATTAGTGTCCAACAATTAACAAATAAGCATTTATTAAGTGACTATTAAGAGTCAGGCTCTGCCTGATAAATAATGGGGATAATGCAGATACAACACACTCACAGATGCTGGTGTCATGTGACTTTGTATTTTTATCTCTGTGTAAATGGTGCATCCTCTCAGTAGGCCAGGCTCCTTGAGGGCAAATACCATTTTTTTCTATCTTTGTATCTGTGGTGCTGTGGCCATTAGAGGTGTTTAACAAATGACTGTTGAATTAGATTGACTGTGTTGACTATAAATGCTTACAAAGTATTTTCCATTGGGCAAGAGAGTGGGTGAGGACAACCCTTTTAGGTTTGTGTTTCTTAGAATCATTCAGTGAATCTGACACCAGTGAATCATAGGAGCAAAGATTCAGCACTGACCTTAGGGAAGAGTTTGAAACCAACGAAATTTTTATAGTATAGTGGTCAAGCAAGGTCATACAAGAACACAGGTTTAGAGCTGGGAGAGACCATAGAACCTATCTAATCCAACCCCCTCATTTTATCAATGAGGCAACTGGGACCCAGAGAAGTTAGGTGCCTTCCCTAAGGTCATACACTTGAGCCAGAAATCAAAAAACACTTTTCTAACTTCAAGTTCATCTCTTTCTCCTAAACCACAGAGGGCAGCCAAGGTTTTGCAACTGAGATGAGCAAGTGTTTACCTATGACACACGTATGATGTCTACTACTGGGCAGATGTTGTCAGGTATAGAAGATTGAGAGTAAGTCCATCTGCCACAATTCAAACAGCCCATTCAGGACGAGATTTTCCTGTGAATTTCCACTAAATGTTTATTCCTCCAATGATTGCCTGCTCCTCCAACTTTGGTGTCTGGCACATAACAGGTGTTTAATAAATGCTTTTTGATTGACTGATTAGCGCATGTTGAACTTAAACCCCAAACCACAGAGGCACCTTGGAATATCCCCCAGTCAGCATAGTGAAGATGCAGGTCAGAAAGCTCTAGGACCTGGCAGGAGCTAGCTTCATTGGTCCCTCAAACCTCATGGGGTCTCCTGTGGATACACAACCCCTCCCTCACTCTCTCATGGTCGCATATAGTCTGGTTTGATCCATTACATGCCAATCCCTCATCTGGTTCCTTTTAGTACCTTGGCAGAGGTGCCAGCAAAATCAGGTGTCACTGGCTTTGGGGTATTAGCGGCAGCTCTGCTACAAGAAGAGCATCTCCTGGCACACTCCTGGTGTGTGTGTGTGTGTGTGTGTGTGTGTGTGTGTGTGTGTGTGTGTACTGATGGGTACAGGACAAGACATTACCTGTATCTTCTTCTCCCGCTATGCCCCACTGGGCTGCATTCTCCCTACAATATCGCCAACCAGCCCCAGGAGTCTAGAGACCTGGTCCTAGTTGATCAATGTGTAGATAATGAGCTAGTAAAAATTACATCAATGCCCCTAAGATTTTACTTGGAAGAAGCCACAGAAGCATAGCACAGTTCTTCTATGGCTCAATAAAAAATTTTCTAAGAAATGCTATGACAGAAATATTCATCACCTTCCCATCAACCCTGTAATGAACCTCTCAAAAATGACCCAGGCTGGTCTTGGGAGATAGCAGGCATTTAGATGACCCATTATGGACACATTCATACTTGAAGCCTCTCTAGTTTTATAGAGCCTTTCAAAACTTATGCTTTACTGTTATAGACTTTAAGAAGACATAATTACCTCGACATCACAATGAGCCATTAGAATTGAACTTTAGCGTAGCAGTAAAACTAGAATAACACACACACACATTATATATGCGTACGGGTATGTGTGTATGTGTGTGTGTGTATATATATATACTTAAATTAGCTCCATATAATTCTATAAGAGAATACACACACACACACACACTCTGTAACCGTGTCTGCTGACAGAACCAAAATTAGGCCAAGACAATCAAACCTTTCCCCAGGATGTCAAAATTTAAAGAGCCCAAGAATTTAAACTAATGATTTTAGAAGATTGTGTAATTCTAACTGTGCTACATTTGACAAAACTTTCACTCCTTCAGTGGCATAGAAACAACTGTACTCAGCACCTAGTTAACAAGAATAATTAGATCAATTAAGAAGCTACCAGATGGCACACTTGCTCCCCCAAAGACTACATACCAGGTGAATTCCTCCCTGGCAAGGCCCTGCCTTATTTCAACCCCATCACTCCAGTCATTAGCTTCCCCAGCATCCCAAGTTTTCCTTCTATGGGGGCTGTTATCAGGGTCTTCCCTCCTTCAATAACGCATGTCCCAGAGTTTGTCTCCGTCCACTCAACTGAATTTCTCTTAATTTCTTCTTGTTCTATTTTCACACCATAAATGACAAAGTTGATTTGAGGGTTGCTTGTGTTGGGTCCAGTTTTGTGTGGCTTATCTTGAACACCCATATTGCTAGATATAGCTGTATATGCTGATATTTAAATAGAAAGCTTCATCATGAATCTTCAACATCATCTTCAGAGAACTTGGGCCAAAGAGTGGAGGTAGGGTGGTACCCACAGCACTGTGTATTCTAGCCAATTTCATTTGGCACTAGTCGTATAACTTTACTGGAAATTATTTGTAAGGGCCCTGTTCTTTTAAGCCAAATAATTGTCTAGGTGTGGATACCCTTGTTTTTATGACAGCTCCCTTTTCACAAGATGATAATAGTATCTTACGCTTAAACACAGGTTCATTAAAATGGGTTTGAATCAATTCTATATTGTATTTTGAAAATGCTTCTGACTCTACTTGCCAAAATCAAAGATCATGTTTCTCTGCCTTAGCCAAGAACTTATAGTGCTCTTTCTAATTTTATTTCTAATTGTTACAGACCAAAGCTAAGAGCATCAGAATTCTACATGTCTCTTCTCTCTAACAGCCAAATTCTACCCTTAGCAATGAGGGCAGCTAGGTGGTACAGTGGATAGAATGCTGGGCCTAGAGTCTGGAAGACTCATCTTCCTGAGTTCAAATCCAGTTCCAGACACTTACAAGCTATGTGACCCTGGGCAAATCACTTAATCCTGTTTGCCTTAGTTTCCCTATCTGTAAAATGAGCTGTAGAAGGAAATAGCAAACCACCCCACCATCTCTACCAAGAAAACCCCAAACGGGGTCATAAAGAGTGAGACACAACTAAAACAATTCAACAACCACAAACTTTTAGCAATAATGAGAATCTAAAGAGGAAAAAAAAATAGTCCCTCTGAGGGGGCCAATAATAGAACTTTTTTTTGATTTCTCTGACTCACCATGCCTCCAGTGCACTCCCGACAATCCTGTAAACAGGTTATGTTTTCCCAGGTACTGTATGCTTTCAGTCCTGCTACTAGAGCCTGCAAAGAACGACTGTTGACAAGATCCTTCTCGTGAAAGATGTCTTCATCCAATAAATCCCCAGCATATCTAGAAGAGAAAATGTGCAAGGCAGAATGACTGAGCAACTCAACCACACGGCATGAAGCGACCCCACTGACCAACTGGAGAGCTTGAGGTAAACCACAAGGCTAAAATCTGGGTCTCAGTCATGGCTGAGAACTTGACACGTGCTTTCAATCTTTTAGGTTGAGCCTTTGAATACACCATAATAAAACCCACCGACCACACTTCTCTGCTCTGTCTTTCTAACAGCCACGCCCACATCTCAAATGTTTCATTTTCATGTCATGTGTGAGAGTTATTTCTCACTGTCCTTTCATAATGAGAATCCTCATAGATCCACCTCTGGTGTCCTCTAATGTCTCATAGCTGGCATCTCATATTACCATCAATTCTATGAAGCAGATGTTCAACTCAAAGCTTTTTGTTCAAAGACTCTTACATTCTAACTCCCCTCCACAGGTTGGGTAACTTCAGCTAAGACCATACCTAAAGTGGAACTCTTCTCTGCCTGTGTCCAGAGTTCCCAGTTTCTTGTGCTTCTCACTCTAGCTTTCTGTACCCACTCACCAGAAACTCTGAAACTACTTTGCTATGTACAAAAGTAGCTTTTAAAAAGGTCATTTTGTTGTTGTTCAGTTATTTTTCACTCATATCCAACTCCTCGGGACCCTACTTGGGGTTTTCTTAGCAGAAATACTGGAGTGGTTTGCCATTTCCTTCTCCAGATCATTTTACAGATGAAGAATTGAAGCAAATAAGGTTAAGTGATTTGCCAAGGATCACAAAGTAAGTATCTCAGACCAGATTTGAGGAAGATGAGTCTTCCTGATTTCAGGCTCAGCACTCTTTCCACTGTACCACCTAGTCATCCTAAAAAGGTCATTATTTCCTCTAATTCCTTAGACATTTTCAAAGCCTATTTAAAGTGACTTTTCTGGGTCTCAAATACACCAAAATATTTACAGCAGCACTTTTGTAATAGCAAAGAACTGGGAACAAAGTAGATGCCCATAGATTAAGGAATGGATAAACACACTTTTCTACACCAAAGTAATGCTTATTTCTGTATTATAAGAGGCAGGCTGTTGTAATGGGTAGAAATCTATCTTTGGAGCCAAGAAGTCCTATGTTCAATCCCTTTACATTCTGATATATAATATGTGGCCCTGGGTAAGCAATTTGCCTATCAGTACTCTATCAGTACTTTAGGTAACTCCTCTGTGATTAGAATCACAGAGAAGTTACCAAAATGCATGAATAGAGTTTCTTCAACTGTGAAAGTTCCTTTCATCAGTGAAATCACAGGTCCAGTTCCTATTCCTATCCTAATAAACAATGAATACAAAGTCTTCAGAGAAGCATAGAAAGACATACTATGTGATCTGCTACATAAAGTAGGAAGTAGAATAGAGAAAACAATATAAATGGGAAAAATAACCACCAAATTTTAAAAATGAAAAACAACAAAGAAACTGAACATTATGTAACCATAAGGACCAAGTTTGGCTGAGAAGGGATTTGAAAACAATACTTCTCTTCCTTCTTTGCAGAGGCAGGAGGTTATGGGTGTGGAATATTGTCAAAATTGGTGGATATATTAATTAAATTTGCTAAACTGCTTTCTAAATTCATTTGTCTGGGGGCTGTAGGGGTAGGAATTGGGAGGGATATATTTGGAAGTGAAGGTGACATAAAAATAAAAGATATTTTTGTTAAAAAGATAAAAAAATAAAATAATATTTTGGTAGTAATCACTACAGAGGATTTTGTGGTAACTTATCCACCTGCTACCTCCTTCCTTACCACCACTAATCCTACATAATTTGCTACATCCTTTCTCACTTCTGGGCTTCTTCTCTTATCACTTTCAGATTTACATTCTTAGGGAAAGACATTCCCAGTCACCCACTTGTCCTGAACTGCCTGCAAGAGTTTATTTTTATAGTGAGTTATCATTTGTAAATGTTGCTGACTCTTTGATGACAAACCAGCTGGACTGCAGAGAGGCAAGTCACTTACAGTGATGGAATTTTTTAACCATGGCACCCTCTGAAACAAATATCGACTTAAATAAAATACAACAAAAAACATCCTTTTTGCTCCTATGTCCCTCTTTTACTTCTCTCTCTGCCCCTGTGTGTTCCCCCTCCACCTTATTCTATTTCATTTTGAAGGAATTATTAAGCTATCACATGAAGAGAAACATGGTGTAGTGCAGGGGTCAGCAACTATAGGCAGAGGGCCAAATATAGGTTTATGCTACCTTTGATGTATCCCAAGGTAAGAATGGTTTTTAAATTTTATTATATTATGAAGGCAGCTAGGTGGTACAGTGGATAGAACGCTGGGCCTAGAGTCAGGAAGACCTGAATTAAAATTCAGTCTCAGATACTGACTTGCTGTGTGACCCTGGGTAAGTCACTTAACCCTGTTTGCCTCAGTTTTCTCATCTGTAAAATAAGCTAGAAAAGGAAATGACAATCTACTCCAGTATCTCTGTCAAGAAAACCCCAAATGGGGTCACAAAGAGTCAGCAACAACTGAAATGACTGAAGAACAACATCATTATTATGTTATGTTTATATTTTAAAATAAAATTTTATTGCATTTTTAAATGTATTTTTAAAATTGTATTTTATTGTATTTAAAAAATAAACACCATTCTTAGTTCCTAAGCCTTACAAAAAATATGCTGCAGGCTGCAACAAAGCTAGGTTACACAGCGGATAGAGTGCTAGCTCTAGTCTGGAAGATCTGAGTTCAAATCCATTCGCAGACACTTACTGGCTGTGTGACCTTGGACAAAACATTTCTGCTTGCCTTGTTTCCTCATCTGTAAAATGGAGACAATAGACAATAACAGCACCTACCCAGAAGGGTTGTTGTTAAACCCCTCACAATCTGGCTGCTGATCTGATCATGTTACCAAATCTGCTCTCCAAAGTTACTAATGATTTCTTAATTGCCAAATCCAATGGCCTTTACTCAATCCTCATTCTCCTCGACCTCTCTTCAGCCTTTAATTCTGTTGATCACTGTCTCCTCCTTGATACAGTTATCCCTTCCACATCACGACTTCCCTATTGCTGTTTCCATATATCGAAGGTTGCCATAAGAAATTAAATAGGAATTTGGCAGGGGGGGGGAAGGCGGGTTGCAGAAGCCTCAGATGACACATGAAGGACAGCAGACAGCCCAGAAAGAGTTCAGAAACTCAGAAATGCATAAAATATATGTACAGTATTGTATAATGTCAACCCAAATTTTACAATATAGTACTGTAAACATAAAAGAAAAAGGAAAAATTCAGACTTCTCTGGTAGAAAGGGAAGGCCAAAAAATTTTACTCAGATTTTCCAGATTGCAGGGGTGCTGCGTCCCTAAGCCCCCACAGTGTGGAAGAGATAACTGTACTCTCTTCGCTCTAGGTTTTAAGAACACCACTGTCTCCTGCTTCTCCTCCTACCAATCTCATGGTTCCTCCTCTGTCTCCTTTGCTGGGTCCTCTTCCAGATCATGCCCTCTAACTATAGATATCCCCTAAGGATTCTGTCTTGGGCCCTCTTCTCCTCTCCCTCTATAATACTTCATTTGGTGATCTTACCAGCTCCAGTGGATTTAACTACCATCTCTGTGCTAATGATTCCCAAATCTACCTATCCTGCTCCAAACTCTCTCCTGACCTCCAATCTCACGTCTCCAACTTTCAAACATCTTGAACTGGATGTCTAGTAGACATCTTAAACTCAATATGGCCAAAACAGAACTCATTTTATTTCCTCCTAAACTATCCCTAACTCCAACCTCCCCTATTATTGCAGAGGACAACATCATCTTCCCAGTCCTTCAGGCTCACAACCTAGGAGCCATCTTGGATTCCTAACTATCTCTCGTCCACCCCCACCCCCATGTCCAAGCTGTTGCCAAGGCCTTTAGATTTCACCTTTGCAACATCTCTCCTATATACGTCCCCTTCTCTCCTCTGGCACAGCCACCACTCTAGTGAAGGCTCTCATCACCTCACTCCTGAATTACTGTAATAGCCTGCTGGTGGGTCTGCCTGCCTCAAGTCTCTCCCCATGCCAATCTACCCTCCATTAAGTCACTAAAGTGGTCTTCCTAAAGCACAGGTCCAATTATGTAGCCATCTGCCCCCAACTCAATAAACTCCAGTGGCTTCCTATTGCTTATAGGATCAAATATATTTTTAAAGCCAATAAGTGTCTGCGACTGGATTTGAACTCAGATCTTCCAGACTAGAGCTAGCGCTCTATCCACTGTGCAACCTAGCTTTGTTGCAGCCTGTGGCATGTTTGGCATTCAAAGCCCTCCACAACTAGCCTCCTTCCACCTTTCCATTATTCTCACACCTTACTCATTGACACATCCTATAACACTGGGCCCCTGGCTGTTCCACATTCAAGACACTCCATCTCTCAGCTCTAGGCATTTTCTCTGGGTGGAATGCTTAGAATGCTCTCCCTCTTGAGTTCCAACTATTGATCTCCCCAGCTTCCTTGTAGTCCCAACTAAAATCTATAGGAAGCCTTTCCCAATCCCTCTTAATTCCAGGGCCTTCTCTCTGTAAATTATCTCCAATTTATCCTACATAAAGCTTGCTTTGTATATATTTGTTTGCATGTTGTTTCCCCCACTAGACTATAAGTTCCTTGAGGGCAGGGACTGTCTTTTCCCTCTTTTTATATCCCAGCACATAGTATAGTGCCTGGCATATAGCTTAATAAATGCTTATTGATTGATTATGAGAATTAAGTAGGATAATATTTCTAATAGAGGAAATATCTCCATGAACATACCATGAATGAACCAAAAGAAAGCACCTGGCCTGGTAAATTGTTGGAGTTTGGATATATAGACTTTTTTGCTTTTGGAAAGAGGTAGGAAATCAGTAAAGTGACAAATCATTTTACCCAATATGCAGTCAGGAAGCAGAAAGCATCTGGAGTTGCTAAACTGCTTTGGGAAAAGTATTATTCTATAGCTGGCTTCCCTGCCAAAATCCA